TCTTCGCACCCTTGAGCAAGATGTGTTCTTAACCCCATGCTCAGGTTGTGCGTATAGTGAGTCGAGTATCTACTATATAGATCGATTCATGTGCACATGCAAGAGGAGCCTTAGTATTACGTCTAGGATAGTGGACTTGTATTCGAAATTCTTTTCAGAGGGGAAATGACTATTAAAAGGCAGCCTGGGGTAAGTTTGCATTTCCTCTCTGCGTTAACACTCCATAAAGCTGATCCATGAAAAAAAAAGTCACAGCATAACCCTGGATTCAGTGTGACCTCACTTTCTCTGCTGAAGGAGAAATGAATGAATTAAATACCCAGAACAACCCATGAACATTAAACTGTGGTTTATCATTTAACAGATGGGTCAAATTAACCACCCCGCCATGCAGGCATTAAGCACACTTTAACTATATATGGAAACTGTATTTTCAGTGTGGTTTGACCTCTAATAAACTTTATCTTGGTTCTTTCTGGAGATGATATGATATGTTATGTAATAAAAAGATTCCTACCTGTCTGACACCTGCTGCTCTTTGAAAACTCATTTAAATTCATTGCGTTCTGCAGCATAGTAAAGCAGACCGGGGCTAGTTGTCACAATGAATATCAAATCACTGTTGTGGCCTACAAATATTGGAATACATAAACTTATCCTTTTAAAACATGATAATTTTATCTTGAGAAAACGGTTCTCCTTTCAGTTAGCCTATAGAAATATAGATAAAACAAACATTTGTTTGACTGGATGGTATAGTTATTGGATGTGACATCTTACCCTAAGTGACAATTAGCTCCAGTCATTCCTATTGGTTAAAAAACCCGATCAGGTGACATCGTTAATTTTTCGCACATCACTGACCAAGATGGTCGTAGAATCCGGAACATGAACTATGTGATTGCATATGAACTTTTAGACCTCTTATGGTCTAAAAGTTATGTTTCATCCCAATTTCATTAGCATTTATTTGGGATTTTCTGACAAATATATGTTATTATTTTAGATATAAACTCTTCTGTTGCTGTAAAATTAAATTTCTTTTAAAAAATAGCTAATTAATCATTAACTATTGATGAATTCATACCTCTAGAGATGTTCCACTCTTGCTCTTGATGTGATCTGCTCTTCCTCTTTTTGCAGGGAACCCCTTCGCCAACAGAAGACAAAGTGTCAAGAAAACTGCCCACCGTAAAGCTTGGCTTCGAATCAGCATGACTTCGTAAAAAAAAAATAATAAGGATAGTTTTTATTATGATTTTGCTATCGTGCACCGCTTTTGATGAGTTCCTGTGAACGGCACTCAACCCTTTTCAGTTCCAAGGTTCTTTTATGTCTCTCTCTTTGTATGTATGCCCATCCCTCATATAAAACCAATCCATCTAAAACGTCAGAAATGCATTAGGCATTAAACACGTAAAAGCAAATTCTCCGTGAGCAGCAGAACAACCCTCATGTCCGCGTGTCCCCCAGATCTTCTCACTCTGAGATGTTCTTGGTCCCCAAACGCATTTCAGCAGTTCCCAAACTTTAATATTCCTCTCAGAGTTCTTCAGGTGTCGTGAGTTTGCCTCTATCCAGTGGAAATATAGCCTATGAAGAACAGTCTTGTTTGAGTGTGATTCTGCGGTGGATAGCTCCTCAAACACGCGTCTCTCGGAGCGCAATGCGCACTGTGCAACTGAAGGTCCAAGACGCAAAGAAGATCAACGCAGCGCTCGTTTCCTCACTACCCGTAAATGCAGATGTATGATGCGCTCCTGATTCATGCTCACAGAAGTCTACACCTCATGCAGGTACTGTGGTGAAGTGCCCTCAGTAATTCACTGGCTGGATGTGACATTCATCTCCCTCCGCTTGTGTGACGTCTGTGGAGGAGGGGTTCATAAACCCCACTCTGACTGACTGACTGAATGAATGAATGAATGACTGAAGCATGAAAGCTGGAGCTGCGTGGTTTATAATATCTTCATGAGACCCACTGAAGAGAAAGGTTTTGGCTTATTTAAGGCAATATGTTTGGTCCATATTATTTATAAAAAATATTTTATATTTATTGTTTATTTTAGATTTGTAGGCTACACTACCGTTCACATTTTTAGTGTCAGTAAGATTATTTTGAAAAATAATTAACAGTTTTATTCAACAAGGATGCATTAAATTGATTTTAAAAATCCAATTAAATACCTTTATTCAGCAAGGATGCATTAAGAGTATAAAATTTGTTACAAAAGATTTCGGTTTAAAATAAATTCTGTGATCATTTAAAAATATACTGGAAAAAATGTATCATGGTTTTCACATAATAACAAAAAAATGTTTTATGTTTATACCATTTGAAAATATAATAAACCATAAATTAGTTAATATTTCACAATATTAGTTTTTATTATATTTGTGAACAAATAAATGTAGGTTTGAGCATGAGACTTGCAAAACCAATAAATAATGTTACCAACCATTTATATATAGTAAATATTTTATGAAAAACTATTTTCAAATGTATTACGGTTTAATTTTTTATTCATTTTTAAAAATAAATATTTATTATTTTGTGAATTGTATAAATTGAGGATTTGCCAACAATCAGTTCCAAGAAGCTTAATATGTACAATATGCTTCCTCTAATGTGGTCATTTGAAGTCCTCTGAGGTATTAATTCAGAACTATCACATTTGTAATCTAGCAGCCACTGGATTAGCAAAATAATTTAATTGTGAAGCGAGTCGGGACAGTAGAGAAATGTGCAAAATGTAAAGTGAGAAAAGAACACAAAGGACCTTAATAATACATTTAGTCATAGTAATTTAATTTCCTTAGAGGAGTGGAACAACTCCTGAACTGATGAAGCCCACAGTGTACTTTGATTCAAAAGTAGGTCTTAAAAACAGTATGCACTACAGGCAGCAAAATCCAAGTCATATTAGAACACATACAGTCAATGTACTGGTAAAGCTTGTGTTTTATCTGAACAAGAAGTCTTTGTAGTTGGATTAATCTTTCTTAAATGTCCGTTTTTATATTATCAAGAAAAAAAAATATGATTGTTTCCATCTTTTGCTTTTTTAAACATCTCTTAATCGGTGTAGTTTCTCCTCTGGTTGCATATAAATAAAAAAAATGGTTAAAAAGAAATATCCCTGGATTTTGATGTTGTAAAAGACTTGTACTAAATTAAATACATGGGAGAATGTACTACCCCACAGGACCAAAGCAACAGAAGCCACAAAACAGAACAAAGAGTGTACATTTCAGCACCTTTAAAGCATCATAAACCAGCAGATTCAGTGATTACATCCCACATGCTTTGCTGGGAATATTAAAATGATATAAAAATACTCATCAGTAGTATGTGCACTGAGAGCATGCACATCATGCATGTGCATATATGAGATATCTGGAGCTGCCGTTGATGATTAAAGTACACTTCTCCAAACAATAAAAGAACATGAATATGAATAAAAACATGAATAAAATTTATTAAAAATAAATATGTACATTAAAGAAACATACATAACAAAGCTCCTTTCATGAAGGCTGAAAAGTGTTTTAAAGAGGTTGGAAATCATAAGACAATGAACTTTAATCAATATTGAGGAAAGCTTATATATCTACACAATGAAAACTCTTGCAAGAGAGCAAACTTATTAGTTATTCATAGTATTGCACTCATACACTAATAAGTCACTATTAAAATAGTTGCATGTCAAGGAAAATGTAAATTTACTCACCCTCAGACCATCCAAGATGTAGAGGAGTTTGTTTCTGCATCAGAACAGATCTGGAGAAATTTAGCATCACATCACTTGCTCATCAATTTATACTCTGCAGTGAATGGGTGCCGTCAGAATGAGTGTGCAAATAGCTGCTAAAAACATCACAATAATCCACAAGTAATAAACATGACTCCAGACCATCAATTAATGTCTTGTGTATCGAAAAGCTGCATGTTTGTAATATATTTAACTTCAAATATGAGTCATCTATCCATAATATTGCTTTCTCCAGTGAAAAAGTAATTTCCTCTGAATCAGGAGAAAAATATGCACAGATCAAGCCGCTTTTAAACAAAAACAGTCCAAAACCGTTCTAAACAAATATGTTGGTGGATTTTGATGTGGACAACAGGGGATGGACTTTTCACTAAATGAAACATTTTTATGAATAGAGGACACATATTTTAGCTGGAAGTGACAGTTGAAATTTAAAATGCCTTAATGATAGATTTCTTCCAAACACGCAGCTTTTCGCTTCACAAGACATTAATTGATGGACTGGAGTCATGTGGATTACTTGTGATATTTTTATCAGCTGTTTGAACTCTCATTCTGACGGCACCCATTCACTGCAGAGGATCCATTGGTGAGCAAGTGACGTCCTAAATTTTGATGAAGAAACCAACTCATCTACATCTTGGATGGCCTGAAGGCGAGTAAACTTTCACCACATTTTCATTTTTGGGTGAACGATTCTTTTAAAAAGTAAAGTTTCTACAAGGTTTTGGAATCATACCGCACAACTTGCGCTGCAGCTTTGGAGATAATGCATATAATCAGCATCCAAGTTTCCTCAGAGGTGACAATTTGATAAATATGCTTGTTTCTACCTAGACTTCCCTCAGACATAACCAACATCGCCCTCCGCGATTTCGATCTCGATGAAAAAATAAATATCCTGGTAACATAAGAAAAACGATAGCCAGATTGAAGCAAGACACCAGAGCTGGCCACAGGTCAAAATCTGTGGAAACAACAACAACTAGAGAGCCAAGTTGTGGAGGTTTTGGAATTTGATTTAGGTAGCACAGTGAATGTACTGACAATGCAATAAGAAGAACCTGTAATTCCTTTCATAGGTCAGGATCCTCGGAATTATGGGCTCGCTGCTAGTCTGTTCTCACTTACTAGAGAAAAAAAAAAAAGTCTCAATGGTTTTGAAGGCTGCACTGACATATGGCTTTAGCAAGTACACAAGCAGCTCAAAGCGTCCTGTGGCTGGCAGAGAAAAATCTAAGTATTAATTTCCCTAAACGAATGCCACAACGAGTTAAAAACAGACCTCACGACAAAACAAAACTGAGGTGACAAATGCAGTAAAGGAAACTGGGGAGTGACAACATTTTTTTTCTTTTTCTAAAAGCATCAGTTTTGTTGTTGTTTAGAGCTTTATGTGTTAAAATAAAGATGATATACCTAAGTTTAAAAAAAGTTATATTTATTAAGTGGTTCGCTGCTTCCTTTCGGAGAGCAGAAGATGAGCAGTGCACATTTGGTTCAGATAGGAAGTATGTCACTCTTCGTTCTCCTCATATGTGGTCTCATCAAAGGGCCGGTCCAACGAGGGAAGAACTTTGTGCTGCGAATACTTCAGCTGCAGCAGATCGCCGACTTCACTGATCACATCCAGCGCCTGAAAACAATCATCATGCTCCATTACTTTCATGGTTACACATGTAAGTCATAACATGCTAATGCTGAGAAGCGGCTGCCACCTACCATGCAGTACATCAAAAGTTTGATATAATATAGTCATGGCAATGCTAGCTGCATTATTTATACTGCAATTGATTCCATACAGATTTCTGGTTCAAGTTACCATGAAATGCACAAAATGTCAATTATTAATAAATTTCAAAGAAATTTGGGCCTATATATATTCTATATTCACGATACATTCATGATTAATTGAGCAACACTGTAAAAAGCTGCTTAGATTTGGTATGTTCAATGAACCGATTCAAACTTTGATTCAATTAAACATTTGAATCATCACTTAAAAATGTTCACACAAGTCTCTGCTTGACATCTTTCACATATTACAATGTTTCAGCCAAATATGTTGATAAATAGTTATTTTTGTGCATATAAATAAAACAACTAAATATTAATATTTAAATGCCATTTAAATATTCTTCTGTGTGTTCATCGGTCATAAACAATGTTAATACTTTAAAACTAGATTTTTACTATTATTTATTACTAAATTTTACTATTTGCATTAAGTTTTCTTTAACAAATCTACTTGTCAAAAATGTCTGTCTGGTTGAAATGATGGTTTCTCTGATTTTAAAATAAAAAAATAAGTAGACAAAGTACAATACATTAAAATAAAATAGAAGACAAATACAGAAGTTAAGTTATATACTAAATTTCACCAAAAGGCTAAAAACTATATTGACACATCTTCGTATTTTTATGTACTTTGTACAATTTTAGTCATTCATCAATGGAAGAAATGCTAGAAAATATGTCAGAAGGAGACTGAATAAAAATAATAATAATACAAAAAAAATAATAATAATATGGATAAAAGCATCTGCTAAATGACTAAATGTAAAATGTAAATGTGTGTGG